TACTTCTGCTGTTCCCAATCCACATATCTTCCAGGGAAAGGTGGCACAGTGACACTGAGCTACCACCTGACTCTTCTCTCTTGGGAAGGGCAGGAACATTTGGGAAGGTAAGAGCAGATGGATAAGCCAATTACCCAGATTTCATCACTATGCACTGTATGCATGTTTCAAAATAGCATACATACCTTATGAGTATGTGCAATTATTATGTATCAATTAAAAATAAAAAATAATGAAAGCCGGCAGCAAAGAAAGAAAGACTTTTTAAAAAACAATGGCCCATTTCTGGGTTACTGCTAGGTTGGCTGTACAACTAAATTGATTCTCCGACCCCTGCTGATTTAGGAGTCCCTTGCTAGATGGTGACATAACAAATAAATAATTTTCTCAGTTTGCTCAATCTGTCCTCTCCCAAAGTCTCATTGACTAGAGGTCTAGAGAGCACACAGGCAAATCAGCCAGGCTGGACTGAAAGGTTATTCTGATCCCTGGCACACTCGACCAGCTCCTCCGTGTCTGCCAACAGCTGTTCTCCAGAATGCGATTTTAATCTTCAAAACAGCATGGTTGCTTAGCACACGCCCTAGGACATCTACCTTTTTAGAAAGCATTTCAGTGTGTCTCAGTGTTTCTCTCTAATACAGCCACCAATGAAAGAGAGGTACAAAAGGATTCCCGACAGCCCCTGCTCCACAGTGAGACACTCCCACCTGCACATCAAGCCTGCAACTGCCAAGGGCAAGGAATGGCAGGAGCTGGTAACTAAATGCAAGCTTGCCCTCCCCCTTCCCCATCTTCCCCATCTATTTGGGATGCTATAAAGTGAACAGACTAGATAACATGGCTCTTCTGCACTTAGGATTTCTGAGGAACAAATGGCCTATCAGTGAGCTGATCAATAGGTGGCATTAGCAGCAGTCTCCACAAGAATCACTCATCAAAACACAGTGGCAGATGAGGGGGATGGTGACAGTGATAGGCTGGAGTGAAGTGGGCTGATGTAAGAGGTAAGAGGAAGAATCCACACTTTGACCCATTAATTTTTTCAAATGTCCAGTGCCCTTGGGAGGGTTTCAAATGTCCATGCCCTGGGGTGTCCCTCCCCCATCACGTACCAGCAGTTGGGCAGGTTGAGGGTTATGCTGCCTTGGATGTTAGCTCCAAACTGCAAGTACCCCAGACAGCCCAGGCTGATGTAGAGGATGGTGACAATGGCCATACCCACATACAGGATGAGTGGAAATTTCTGGGGCTCCTTCATTTTATTTTCAAGGGGCAGAACCTATAAGAGAGAAGTGAGGGAGGGAAGAAAGCACCAAAAGTAAAAGCAAAATTAATGCCCCCCCCCCAATTTAATGTCCTCAGAAAGAGTAACTTCTTTATCCCCAGAATTCCCCAGAAGCACATCTGTTCTTTACTAGATAATGAATCAAAGTGGTTTCATCAGAAGTTATACTCTTGGGAGTGGAGGGGACTCCACAGCCCACTGTCTGTCCAGGAAGTCCTAAGAGGTAAGGGTGAGGTGGGACTAGAGTCCAGGACTCCTGGGCGAGGCCAACACTCTGCCTTCCTGCTGCGGGATCCCATGAGTGCAGACACATGGTGACCACAGGTCCCTCACGTCACACCGGCCCCACACCTCATTTGAGATCACAGCCTCCTCCTAAGCTGTCTAAAATGTGCAAAATACAGGCCAGGGAAAACTGCCACGCTAGCTCAACAGGGGAGGCTACCAGCAGAGACAATTTAAACCTCCAAGTTAGAGAAACTGAGGTACAGAAGATGCAATGACTTGATAGAGGATCTCGAGACTTAGAGACTTAACAAAGCTTAGTTTCCAGACTCTTCTATCAAACCACTGACCTTTGCTGACTCCTTCATCCTAATAGGAGACATTCTTTAACTTTGGCAAAAGCAAAGACCCTTTATTCAGATAAGATCATGGGGTTGGGGAAAAGAGCAGGTGTGGTTCACAATCTGCCACCACCTGCACTGCACATGGCCCAGCTAACAGCCAGTGACAGCACAGGGCAATGTCTAGTGGCTCCACAAACTATCTTAGATCTTGTCATTACACTCATTTTCCTACAATGCCTATGGCCATGAAGCATGGTACCTTTGTGTTGTGCTGTATGCCCAACTCCATGACCCTGCTACAGGCCAGGGGCTCCGAGGGACACCACAGCTCTGTGGCCCCCTCTGACCCTCAGCATCCCTCGCCATCAGCTCCAGGGTCTCAAGCTCTAGTTAATCCACATTCACTGGAAACAGATTCTAAACTTAACCATCAGTTGCTTAATACCAAGAATACAAAGAACCAGAAGGCAGGGCGCCCATCTCCTTCATGTCCTGTCTTAGGTCTGGGACAGTAGTGTAGATGCAGAGAGCACCATGAACGTGCAGTGTGCAGCCTGGCGCTTCACCCTGACACCCAGGACAACCCTTCAATCCAGAACTAAAAATCAAAACTGCAGAGTCCTCTCTCTGTTGTAAAGACAGAAGATACAAAGAAATCTTGAAGTAACAGATGAAGATGTTTGATGTTTACAGAATGATAATGTATCCAAACCTTGGCTAGTGAAACAAAGGAGAGAACAACTTCTGCACTGTGCTGTTACAAGAAAAAACGGATACAAATTCCCAGTACAATGTCTCTTAAGAACCCAGAATCTCTGGGCATCTTTTCACACCTTCTCCATCTCTTCTCTCAAGTCCTGAGTTGTTGGCACCTCCTCTCACTGCTAAAATAGAGGTCCACTCAGGCCCCAACCCCAGCAGCAGAAAACCCTTTGTGCTTGTGGATGAAGGTCTGACAGCCTCCCTGGGCAGCCAGAAGCCTCAAGAAAGAGGACAGGGGAATGTTTCCAAACTTAAGACAATCAATGGTTTGCATGAGGTCATCCCTGAAGCCTCCCCCAGCACATCAGAGCATCAACACAATCTGGGTGATTCCTCAGGATTTTGACCAAAACAAAACAAAACAAAACAATACAAAACAAAACCCTGTCCAACTTCCAGATTTTCTTGAAAGTAAAATATGGTATTAGGAAAATCAATAGAGAGAAAAAAATGCCAAGAAAGGAAAAGACTCTTCCCATTGTCAAACCCTTGGCCAAGAGAGCTACTAACTTTCTTCAGAGAATTCTAGGCCAGGTGCAGTGGCTTATACCTGTAATCCGAGGACTCTGGGCGGCTGAGGTGAGTTTTTCACCTGAGCTCATGAGTTCGAGACCGCCTGAGCAAGAATGAGACCTCATCTCTAAAAATAGCCAGGCATTGCGGTGGATGCCTGTAGTCCCACCTACTTGGGAGGCTGAGGCAAGAGGATCTCTTGAGCTCAGAAATTTGAGGTTGCTGTGAGCTGTGAGGCCACAACACAACACTCTACCGAGGGTGACAAAGTTAATTAAGACTCTGTCTCAAAAAAAAAAAAAAAAAAGAACTCTTATCTTTGTTATATAAATAAATAAATAAATATCAAATTAGGTACAATTGAGTGGCAGATTTCCCATCAATGTGCCATGACAGAGAAATTATTCATGCATTTATTGATTCAATAATAAAATAAATAACATTATTAATAAAAATGTATTAAATATTTACCATGTATTAGGGACTATGCAAAGCACTTTGTACATTTCTCACTTAATCCTAACAACTACTATTCCTTAAGCTCACTTTTCAGGAGCAAACAATAAAAGTTCAGAGAGGTGAGTCCTTATACAAGATCACACAGCTACCCTTTGGCAGGGCCAGGACTTTTACCCCACATGGGTCTGACTCCAGACTTCATGTTCCTGATTGCTTACTGCACATACAGAGGTAAGTGTGCAATGGAGGGGTCTTGGATGTAAATGTTTTAAAATCATATATAATTTATCTTGAAAAGTTAAAGCTAGAAAACGTCAATCCCTGAAACACTACCCATTAACTGGCTAGTAACTCTCAGAAGATAATTTCTAACAGTGCTTCTTTAACAGTCCTTGAAGCTGACCTCAAAGACCCCGAGGGCACCAGAGAACACTGTGCCCAAACCAAGTGCAACTCTTACCATCCCAATGCCTTCAAATGCAAAAATGGCTGTGCCAAAGAAGAGAGGGTAGGTCTTCCAGGGGGCCACCAGGGGCAGACGGGAGGGGTCTGGGATCCTCTGAAAGAGAAAGAAAACAAAGCAAAAGGCTATACAGAGATTCAAGATTTGAACCCCAGATCAGATCAGAGAATCTTAATAAATCCAAGATTCCCTAAAGGGATAAAAGTCTGATACCTGACAGATGATTTGGGGACATATAGCTTTTGTATTTTTTTCTCTTCAGGCTGAGAAAACCCTACTTGTCTTGGGGAAAAGATCAGACCAATGTACTGTAAAAAATTCAGGCTCAGCACCCATAGCTCAGTGGTTAAGGCACCAGCCACATACACTGGGGCTGGCAGGTTCGGACCCAGACCAGGCCTGCTAAATAATGGCAACTACAACAACAACAACAAAATATGTGAGTGTTGTAGTCGGTCCCTGTAGTCCCAGCTACTTGGGAGGCTGAAGCTAGAGAATCACTTAAGCCCAAGAGTTGGAGGTTTCTGTGAGCTGTGATGCCACACCATGGGTGGGTAACATAGTGAGACTCTATCTCAAAAAAAAAAAAAAA